GGGGGGGGCGGGGGGCGAGGCTTAGGTCTGAGGTTACTGGGATTTACTGGTTTGGGCTTGGGTTGCTGGGAGTCACTGGGTGTTCCTGGGATGGGGTTGGAGTTTACTTGCTTAGCATTTAGTCTTACTGGTTTGGGCTTCGAGGTTCCTGGGAGTCGCTGATTGGTGTTCCTGGTTACTGATTTGGTGTTACTGGTTTGGGCTTTGGGGTTACTGGGAATCACTGGTTGGTGTTCCTGGTTACTGGTTTGGTGTTACTGGTTTGGGCTTTGGGGTTACTGGGAGACACTGGTTTGGGGATTGGTCCATCCTCCTTTTTATTGGTCCATACCAGGTGGTTTATGGGATGTAAGAAGGGTTGTAGATTGGTTTCTACTGGTTTCTACTGGTTTCTACCAGTTTCTACCGGTTTCTACCGATCTATACTGGTCTGTACCAGTCCGTACCAGTCTATACCAGTCCATACTGGTCATTATTGATCCACGTTCCTTTATACTGGTCCACACCAGGTGGTTTATTTGATGGAAGAGGGGGTTTAGAGTGTTTTAAACTGGTTTGCACTGGTCCATAGAAGTCTATAGCAGTCTGTATCAGCCTATACTGGTCCATACTGGTCCATACTCCTTTCTACTGGTCCATTCTAGGCAGCTCATGGTACATAAGAGAGGTTCTGTATTGGTTTATGCTGGTTTGTACCAGTCCATGGTAGTTTGTATCAATGTGTATCAGTCCCTGCTGGTCCCTACTGGTTCGTACCAGTCCATACTGGTCTATACTGGTCCATATCAGGTGATTTATGGGATGGAGTAGTAGTTGTAGGGTGGTTTATACTCCATTTGTATTGGTTTGTACTGATGTGCATGGGTCCGTACTGGTCCTTACTCATCCATACCCCTTTATACTGATCCGTAGCAGCTGGGACAGAAGAGGGCTTCTTATGGGACAGAAGAGGGCTTCTATATTGGTTTATATTGTTTTGTAAGAGGCGTGTCCCAGGGGCAGGGGAACAAAGGGACATGCGCAGGGACAGACAACCCCATTGGTTCTAAGGTCACATGGTTTTAGGGGATAAAAGGGAGGGCGAGATTCAAATAAATCCTCTTTGATTCCACCGACATCAGAGAGCGGACTCATTCTTTATCATATAAAGACCGCCAACCCTACATTGGTTTATAGTGGTTTTTTATTGGCTTGTACTGGTCTCTTCTGGTTCCTACTGGTTCATACCAGTCCATACTGGTCTATACTGGTGCATACCAGGTGGCTTATGGGATGGAATACAGGTTGTAGAATGGTTTATACCGGTTTATATTGGTTTATACCAGTCCATACCAGTCTACACCAGTCTATACCAGTATGGACTACCAGGGTCCGTACTTGTCCTGACTGGTCTGTACCAGTTCATACCAGTCCATACTAGTCTATACTGGTCCATACGAGATGGTTTATAGGACAGAATAGAGATTCTAGAGTGGTTTATACCGGTTTATATTGGTTTGTAGCAGTCTGTGTCAGTCTGTATCAGCCCATACTGGTCCTGATTTCTCCGTACTGGTTCATGCTGGTCCATACTGGTCTATACTGGTCCATATCAGGTGGTTTATGGGACAGAATCGAGATTGTAGAGTGGTTTATATTGGTTTGTGCCAGTTTGTACCAGTCTATATTAGTCTCTACTGGTCCATACCAGTCTGTACCAGTCCTGACTAGTCCATACTGGTCCTGACTGGCCTCACTGGCCCCAGCTCCATGCCCTGTACACGCTGGGGTTCCGGGATCGCCAGGAGCTGGGTTTACCGGGAGTTACTGGGAGTGGATTTAGGCTTACTGGAAGTTAC